CGAAAACGTTATTTGTGTGACATTAAAATACATGTAAAAAGGGATTATTGGTGCTGCCGCCCCAAGAATTTCACCCATTTGTTCCCCTTTGAAGCCCTGCCTAACACTTTTGTTAGCTGAAATAAAAAGATTTGTTATTCAATCATCAGAATAAAGAATTTGAGTTATACTGTATAACACTTACCTGTAGCTTGGGAAAATTTTTGAGGTGCTTGGTGTGATGATTGTTACGAGGTTGGGACATGGAGGCTACTGCATCGAACCTCCGCCCACATCCCCGGCCCCATCTCCGTCCCCACGCTGGCTTCTCGCACCCGGTTCACCCACTTCCGCTAACACTTCATCAAACCCCGCAAAGTCAAAATCTTCAGGCATTTCCCCAATGTCATCAATGTCTTCGTCAACTTCAACCTCTCTCTGTTGGTCTTCCTCGGCTGGCCGGCGTTGTGGAAAAAAGGGAGTGATGAGTGACTGCTGCTGGGCATTCACTCGCTTGTTGTACTGCTTCTGGTATTTTCTTGAAATATTCTAAAACTCCAATCACTTGCTCCCTTTCACCTGATTCACTCTCAATGTCTTGGATCATCTCTTGAAGGCTGGTACAGACACCCAATAAGAGTGACAGCTTCTGTGTCGTCACTTTCCTCTGCTCGGTCTCCCCTGCATCACCACTCTTGCCACCTTCTTCATCCTCCAGATCCTCGATGTCATTTGTGTTACCTTCTTCCATCAGTTCTTCTTAATCTTCCCGAGTCACTTCTTGAAATCCTGGGGCTGGGATACTGCGGACGGTTTCCAACACTTGGTTCATTAGCTCTGTTGGCTGTTGTCTCTTCGTCTCGGCAGACTTGAGTTGTGGCAGGAGTGCCGACCAGCCATGCCTAACAGTTGCTTTCGTAGTATTTCCCCAGGCTTTTACAAAGAAATTGACTGTCTGGCGAATGTTATAATTTTTCCAGAAGGCAGTAACAGTCATTGTTGAGGTGAAGGTACGCCAGGTGGAGCAGGGATGGTGGGGGCTGCAGGTGAGCCAGGTGGAGCAGCGGAGGCGGAGGGTGTGAGTGAGTCAGGCGGAGCAGCGGAGGTGGAGGGTGTGAGTGAGTCAGGCGGAACAGCAGAGGTGGAGGCTGTGAGTGAGTCAGGCGGAACAGCGGAGGTGGAGGCTGTGAGTGAGCCAGGCGGAACAGCGGAGGCGGCGAGGGGAGGACCCTCCTCCTCCTCCTCCTCGCTACTGCTCACAGTTTCAGCAATTTCCTTCACTTCTTCTTGCTTATCAGTTTCCTTCCTCATCTTGTCATGGACATATTTGTAGTACAGCAACTTTACATTCGCTATGATTTCTTGGTCTAGTGGCTGTATTTTGGAGGTTGTATTTGGTGGTAGAAACACAACCTCGACGCTAGGGTGACGACCTACTAGAAATCGTGCATGACTGGGGGCATTGTCTAGAAAGAGCACCACTTTGAAGAATACATTCTTCTTCCGGCAGTATTCTTTGGCATCCTCAACAAAACAATCATCAAACCACTTCTTTGATAACTCCGTGGACATGTAGCCTTTACTTGTCTTTTCCCAGTAGACATTCAGTTTGGACATGTCACATCCCTTGTAAGCTCTTGGTCTTTTATATTTGTAGATCACCAGAGGCTTCATGAGGCAGTCACCTGAAGCATTACAGGTTAGGAGGACACTAAAGCGATCCTTTGCCATTTTCACACCTTTTGCCTGTTTTTCTTTCTTAGAGATAAATGTTGCTTTAAGGGATTTTTTCCAAAACAACCCGGTCTTGTCACAGTTAAAAATCTGATCCAGGGTATAACCTCCCTCTTGAATGATTTGATTGGCAATTTCAGGGAAGGAATTTGCAGCCACTAAGTCAGCAGACACCTCACCCTGATACTTTGCATACTTTGTGCCACTTCTAATCTTAAACATATGCAGCCACCCTACTGAGGCATTGAAAGAAGGGGGAGACTTAATGTTTTTCTTTCGAGCTACAGCAGCGTACAATACCCTTGCTTGATCTCGTATCTGAGGGCCGCTAACACTTGCACTGTCTTTCATTCTACAAGCTAACCATTTCACAAGAAAATGCTCTGTTATCACTATCAACCTGTTTCTATAACTTTTATCATTCATAGCTCGCCTCGCACTGTAGACTCAGGACAGTTCAATTTCCTCACAATATCAATGTTCCGTGCACCACTTTCAATGAGCTCAACAATCTGTTCTTTATCCTTGACCGAGTAGGCACGCTTCTTGTGACTTTGTCTCTTAGCTTTGGGGTCTTTTTTCTCATTCACTTTAAAAGTTCCCGGGCATTCAGACGGCAAATCACTCCCTCCACCACCTCCCCTAGCCCCCACAGGCAAAGACGCGGAAGCCATTGTTTATCACCGACCCTCGCAACCACTGGTTATAGAGGCAAAAATCTCACACACGGGCGCAGCGTTGTATTCCTCAGTGACCGACGCCAAGCTGTACGCTTCCGAGGGGCTGTCTCCACCTTTCAGTCACTCACCTGTGGCGTCCCCCATGGCACCAAGATGGGACCACTCTGCTTCCTTGTGCTTATCAATGATGCCCGAAGAGAAACCCCCGCTCGCTGGAAATATGTCGACGACTCCACCATTGGGATCAGCATCAACAATTCTGCTCCCGACTATACCGCCCTTCAGGATTTATTGAACAGTCTCCAAAACTGGGCCACCAACAACCACGTCACCATCAACCATACCAAGACCATGGTTATGCACATCAACCTCTCCTCCGACATTGTCCCACCCCCTTCCATTAATTTAGGTCCGAACACACACCAGGTTGTAGATTCCACGAAGCTCCTCTCCGTCACCATAGACAACAAACTAAATTGGAGACCACACGTCAGTGAAGTTGTCAAATCCTCCAGTTTCCGTCTCCACCTCCTCCGCCGACTCGAGTCCCTCGGAGTTCCTGCACCCGAGCTCCTCAGCGTTTACTCAACATTCATACTTCCCAAGCTCACCTATGCCTCCCCTACCTGGTCTTCCTCCCTAAATGCCACACAACGTAAACACCTAGAAAAAGTGCAAAAGAGGACATGCAAGATTATTCTCTCCCCTTCCTACTCCACATATCAAGAAGCGCTCAACATACTAACCCTTTCGACTCTCACTGACCATCACCACGACCTCATCTGCAAATTTGGTAAGAAGCTTCTGCACCATCCTCGACACCGGTTCCTACTACCACCTGAGATCCCTAGCACGAGAATTGCTGTTCGACACCACAACCGCATCCAGCCCATACGTGCACGAACTGATTGCTATAAGAACAGCCCAGTCCCAACCATTGTAAAAATTATGAATAACTTGTAATAAACCAGTGTATTCACTCCCAGTAAATACTACTTCTTGCACTGTCACTATGTTGAAATGCCCTGTAGTTTGAGCTTTTCCCCATCTAGTTATTTTATATCTTATTTATATCACTTATGTTATTTGTATATTATTTGTAATTCGAAACCCATTCCCCAATTATGTAACTATATTTTCAGCCTTCTGGCTGCCAAGCTCTTTCAATAAACCGTTAATTATTATTATTATTCCACCGAGTGTGTGTGAGTGTGAGAGTGACTCGGGAGTGAGGCGGAGCGGACAACACGGCGGCAAACAAACGCTATAATTGATGCGCTCGGACGCTTCCCGCGAAATCTCCGTTATTCAAGGGAATCCAAACGTTATTATTGAAAATGGGTATGGTATCTATTGTAACTTACCATTAATGTCGAAATCGTGATTGTGGAAGTCGTTATTGGCAAGAGTCTACTGTACTCGTATATTCCCTATTGCTTTGAAGAGGGGAACAAAAATATTGGATTAAACATAAAATCCAAGTTTATAAGCTGGCCTGGATAGAATGACTCATGAATGTGTGCACTTATGGCTTGAGGCTTCAGACCAAAAGAAGCCCTGACTTTATGGGCAATAATCTAAGTATTAATCTTCTCTCTCACAAGCAACTCTAGTTGCTTAAGATGAGATAAAGAAGACAATGCAGTTGTGGGAGCTAACAAGTCAGATTTCACAGTATGAATGAATCATCTGTTCAACTACGCCTCAGTTTCAAACTGAAACCACACAACTAATCCACTTCCTGTCAACCCCGGCAAAACACCTGAGGGATGAAAGGAACCGAATCATTCTAGGCAGGTTTGGTCATAAACGGATTTCAGGATCAATAACACATTTTTAACCGAAGGTTGCCTAGAACAATGCATGGATACCAAAACTACCTGGCAAATCTGGTATAGATACAAGTAATAGAAGCTCCAAAAGTTGTTGGTAGCGAAAGTCAGAGCGGGGAAGATGACAGAGGAAGTAGCAGGAGGTTAGGAAGGGAATTATAGTGGGAGAGATAGTGCCGTGGCTTTACACGACATGCGTTATATTTGATTTAGCGCACAGCGCACGAATTGGGTTTGTCTGTGTTGGGTGTGTGATCCTCGGGTCACCACTCCTCCGGATTGTGTTAGATACGAGTAATAGAAGCAATCTGGTATCCTGTCAGATAGCTGACTTCACTATCCATTGCATCCTATATAATAGATGCCACCACAAAACTGTTACCAATCAGTGGTAGAGCTGACTCAGGAAGCAGAGCAGAAATGATTTATCATACAACAATAAAAGCCGACAACAAATAGGCTGGTTCAGTACCTCTTGCTTGTTAATCAGATGATCCAGGAAGTCTGTCGTTAAGAACATAACTCCCCTTTTACTATGAAAACCTGTCTTCATATACAGAAAGTCACTGATTTATGTTGGTTATTTTTGCATCATTTCAATAAAGCATCATTAACAAATTAGGATTAGGGAAGAATGTTCTTATTTAAGTTGTGCCTGTCTAATGTAAATATTTTTGCCATGATGAGCAGTAAAAAAAAATTCAAACTTTGAGTGAATACACTGCTGCAGCCGAGCATTCAAAGCAACAACATTGTCCCCACAGCCGCTGAATCCACTTCAGTTGTTTAGCCAGTCTGGGAGTATAAAGTGATATCCTGTGGTTACTTTTTGTGCTAACCTTTTAAAAGACCGTTAAGCATGAGAGGTACACATTCTGTAACTTCACCTGGCAAGAAGGACCATAATGCTATCACTTTGGATGTTAAACTAAATATTTTTAAAGGTTTCTATCAACACCTACTACAAGTCACATGCATCAACCCCATCAGAAACACACAAAACTTCACCAGAATCCAAGAAACACTTCACAAAAAGCAAAGACTCCCCACAAGGAAGTCCACAACTCTGGCCAGATATCTTCAGGTGATGAGGCAGAGACTTACCCCTGCCTCACCACTTCCCACCAGCTCATCACTCATTCTCAACACAATCTTTTAATGCATTTCATTTTTGTCCTGTATGGTAGGTTAATGTGGAATATCTTCTCCAATGGACGAGTTGACAGTTCTGGGAAAACATATTTAACACGTTCTGTCACACTGTTAGAGAGATACAATACTGTATATCTTGTTTTTATATTAAAGTTGAAACCATCGTGATTTAATCTTGACAACTTAAAATATTTGTGGCACTGAGGAAACATCAGAAGCTGGAAGCAATGACTTATACACCTGCAGTTGAGAGCGGCAGGTGTTCAAAAGCTCAGTATTTGCATAGGTACTCCTGAGCATGCTGATTCTGAATCTATGATCCATGATTCGATTGCAGGGTAATTAGTGGTCGCAATGATGCAGCCAGCAATCAGATACCATATACTAACTCATTTATTTATACCTACATTAAAGAGATGACAGTATATATTAAGTTGATACATTAAAATGATATTCACAACAGTAGAAGCAGTGCTCTGACATGGGAAACTCTCAGCAAGCAGTAAACGACCACATCTTCCTTATATTCATTTCCCTCAGTTCTGTGACGAATATTTTTCCTGGTGTGGCTCTCTCCGTGTTCTTTCACATTGCAACAAAGCACCAATGATGCAATGTTCTTTCTTTTGAACATTAATTTTAATTTTGGTCAAAGGTGCCTGTCAAAGTGTGTAAATCAACTGGCTGACTCCCGCCCTCGGCTTCACTACAAGCTTGCGACATCACAGCCAATCAGTGGGCGTGTTAGTGAAGTGACTTTTGAGTAACTTTAACCCTTATTTTTTATACTTTTTGGCCTATTTTATTAGAAAATATGGTTACCATAGGGGAACTTAGCAAATTTTTTACTTGTTGAAGTGTTTTTTATAAAACAAAATAGTGACCGTCAACTCGTCCATTACATTACTAAGTCCATGGGATAAACATGTCCTCTTAATCTAATGTTTTCTAGGTTCACTTCCTCGACATAAATCAATGATTTGTTGTATGCCACATTAACTTATACCAGCCCTTCCTAGAAACACAACCCTCCAAATAAATGACACACCATTACAGTACAGTAAACAGTACAGTATATAAAAACGTGAGACATGTGCTGTCTGTAAGAAAGGTATTGGCAGCAACACAAGAGGTGCAGTGCAGTGGAGTGGATTGCAGCTGCATGACGTTGCTGACTTTAAGTGCACTGCGTGTCCAGGTAACCATGTGGCCATATCTAGGCTGGAGAAACTCAACAAAAGGGATATGTCCTTGGACTGTGTTGAGTTCTGTTACCTGCCTGACATGATCAGTGCTGGTGGGGGAGCTGAAGCCTGCTCAGTTGCAAGAGTCAAAAGTAGCTGGAGGAAGTATAGGGAGCTGCTGCCTTTATTGATGGCAAGAGGACCTTCCCCCACTTGAAAGGAAAGATGTAGGCAGCTGACATGAAAAGTGTGATGGTGTATGACAGTGAAACAGGAAGTTAAAGAGGATGACATATACAGGCTTGAGCAAACTGAAATGAAAATGGTGAGGTGGATGTGCAATGTGACACTGAAAGACAAGAAACTCTGTTCAGAGCTAAGAGGGCAGCTGGGCATTGAGAGTATTTGGCAAAGTTTTGAGTAGAAGCAGGCTGAGGCAGTTTGGGCATGTGGAGAGAATGGATGAGACCAACTGTGTCAAGAGATGCAAGTCTAAATGTGGAGGCGAGGTGAGCCAGCGGTAGGTCAAGAAAGATATGGGCAGAAGTTGTAAGAAATGACATTAGAGTTAATAAGCTGACAAGAGACTGCAAGAGGCCATGCTGCATGGAGAACTGCCATCAGGTAAACATGGCAAGTGGAAAATAGCCATAAAACATTGATGATGAGGATGACTCATAATACACTACTGCTGCAATATAATTAATTAATTCAATGATTTGTGAATAGATAACAATATGCTATCTATCCTGACCCAAGGTAATGACAGGATAGGTTGGTGCCATGACCAGGGTAAATTGTTTCCTTCTTCTCAACCTTCTTAGCTTTGTCAGTCCCTAACCTATACAACGAACGTATTTATTCAGTAAATCAACTGCCTATCCCTCAAGTTATTACAATCTCTAATAACCTCCTTTATCAAAATATTCATGAGCCTTCTGATTAATTAATTTAAACAAACGTTCACGTCCCTCATAATACGTATAGGTGGACACCATTGCTACTAAATTCATCCCATCTTATTCCCATGGAAAAATGTCTATGACGAGCAAATTGAAGAATCCTCTTCAGTAGCTGATTTATACCATTCCCAGCCGTTAAATTCTTCCGTGGACATACCCCCCGGTTTGGTTCGACTTTCTATGCCCACTATGAAACAATGACCACTGCAAAGGTTTTCTATTGATTGGGCTAGGGCTTCTAAGTCCTGTGCTATTTGGGCTACTGTACTGTATATCAGCACCAAGGTTGATGTCATTCCTTTGATTACCAGGAAAGTTATAGAGATGTTAGTCCTCCCAAATGGACTCAAGAGTGAACTATGAACTCTTGGAACACCTGCCAGAGTGTGTTGTGATGGTACCAAGTGTGAACTGTTTCAAGGCCTGACTTGACCAACACTGGAGCAGGTTCAGAAACTTTCAGGAGCCTTTTCTTTTTATCCTCTTCACCACTGATCGACTTGTTAGCCGCTTGGGCGGTCGGTTACGCTCTCTGTTATGCACTGTTGGCAAGTACTGGCTCCTGAATGTATCTGAACCCGCTCCAGTGCTTATCAAGTCTGGTCTTGAAAGAGCTCACACTCGGTGCCGTCACAACACTCTCTGGCAGGTTGTTCCAAGAGTTCACAACTCACTCCAAAAAAGTTTGCCCTCACAGTTTTCTGGGCTTGCGGCTTCTTCAACCTTGAACTGTGACCCCTTTTGGGGCGAGTGTCCGCCAGCTCCAGGTATGGAAACTCGACTGAGTAGTGCCCCGTGAGATGTTTATACACCTCAATTAGGTCGCCCCTTGCCCGTCTGTAGTATAAGCTAGGCAAGTTCAGGCGCTCCAATCTCTCTGGATAGCTGAGGTGCTGAAGTGCAGGCACCAGTCTGGTGGCCCTCCTTTGGACATTTTCAATTAACTGACAGTCCCTAGTATATCTCGGGGACCAGACGGGATGACAGTACTCCAGGCGGGAAAGTAGCTCACTCTTGAAGATCGTTATGAGGGACGGACCGTCCAGATATCTGAACGACCTTCGTATAAGACCTAATAATTTAGTTGCTTGGTTCACCTTCTTCTTGCAATGGCCCAAGAACTTAAGTTCATTGTCAACGTACACACCCAGATCCTTTTCACATTCAGTCTCAGTTAATATAGTCTCTTCATCCCATTGGGACATATGATACGCCTCCTCACCGCTGGTGCGTCCCAGGTGCATCCCCTAATACTTCGTGACATTGAATCTTAGTAGCTATTTATTTGACCATTCTTGAAGCTCACAGAGGTCTTTCTGGAGCTCTTCACAGTCTGTTTGTTTCTTAATTTCCCTAAATAACTTTGCATTGCCTGCAAACATTTATATGGAGGAATGTATAGCTTCTGTGGTACCGTACCCTGCTTATCACGGGTACATAAGACGATTTCATACCATTAAACACCACACACTGTTTGCAATCATCCAGAAAGTCTCCAATCCACTTTAGAACACTTCTCAAAATCCCATACCCTTCCAGTTTAATTCTCGGCCTTTCATAGGGTACACTGTCAAAAACCTTGGCAAAATCTAGGTTGGCGACAGTGACAATATAAATGGATTGGTGGTCAGTTACATATGCACTGTGAATTTACTTTGTTTATGGTGATCAGGCATGTTACTATTTGTAGAACCAATAAATTACAAGAGCACTCAAATATTAATATCACAATATTTAGCTGTAAGACGTAGTAGAGAAGGAAATCAGTAAGGCTGACTAGATGTCGCATGTTGTCCAGTTGGATGCTGGATTTTGACCAAATAAACGTGGCGACCGTCCATGCAAGAGGCGACACCACTAAGTCATTGAAACAAATGCAGACAAAAATGCATGTCTTCAACTTACACGCAATATTTTAATCACCTGCAATTAAATAATTATTATATCACAACCACCATTCCCAATACATCTAACGTACGGTATAATGTCACGTCCGCATGTGACAGATTGAGGAAACCCATAACCAACCAATCATAATAATTGCTGTAATATATTTAGCAATAAGAATTACATCATCATCAACATCACACCTAAACTGTAGTGTCTTGAATATCCGTTATCATAAAATACTGGATCCCTGACAAAAATATAAACCTTTAGCCATTAATCTTTTCACATACGGTAAAGACTTTGGGTACCAGTAGCTTTCACTCCCCCCAAAAATTTAGAAAAAATCACTTACCTGTTTCTCAAATACAGTACAGCACAGCTCCTTATTCTTACTACATACTCCACTTTACCACCACTGCTGCAGGCCTGGGATTTGACAACTTTTGGTGGTGATGAAAGTTTTAAAGGCTAAGGGTCCAGATCCCCAGTATAAAATAAATACCCACCTTACCCACCCCCTCCTAAATAACCTCATTAAATTTCAACAAATCTCATAAATTACTGAGTGGCCTAAATGGCAGAAATCTCGACCAGTTAGCCGGAACAATTGGCGGAGAGCACTTCCGGGAATGAGAAATTTCCGTGTAAAAAGACGACTCTCTCAAAGCCGGAAAAAAACATCCCGCATCCCCAGAATTTTCAGGGTACCGGGAAAATTTTCTCGAAATTTTCCGGAAAATGTGCCCCTCGGAAAATTTCAATTCCAGCTATTGGAGAGTTCTGGGCTTGAGGGATTTTGGCTAACAGAGATATTACTGTACTACTACTACTACTACTACTACTACTAAACTGAGAACTATCCCTTACTTCAACTTACCCTACATCTCATAGTAACTAAATTTCACTACGAGTTTAATGCACAACAAAATGCTAAAGAATGGAATACATGAAACATTTTAAAGCTAAGTGTTGGAAAGTATAAAACAAAACAAAAGAACTAAGTGTTGGGATAAAAAAAAAAAAAAAACCAAGTAAAAAGTTAAGTGTTAGAAAAGGCAAATAAAAACAAACAAAATATAGACAATTTGGTTGGGATAATTAGATACCAAAACAAACAATGAAGAGAGAAATTAAAACACAAAACAAAACAAGATAAAAGTGTTGACATGAAGTGAACACAAAACAAGGCTACCAGTAAGTGTTTGTAAAGTAAAGAATAAAACTAAACACAGGTAACAAGGGGTGAGTTAAAACACAAGAAGACTGTCTACAGTGTATTTAGGTATTAATGTTTACTTGTATTGCACAGAATGCCCTAAGTTACACCTACTGATACTGGCATGGTGATGGAGGTGGTGGACTGAGGGCACTACTGGCTTCCTCTGTCCACCAGTGGCAGTGAGTGGCCACAACACTATCTTACGACCACCAAAATCTGAAGTATATACTGTCAGTGGTGGTCATTCCTTAACCTAAAGGCTACTACTGGGTCAATCATCTGGCCATAACTAATTTAAAAAAAGGCCAAGTGAAATTTCTTTGAGTACCCGGTAAGCCTTACCTTAAGCTAAAAAAGGGGAAAAAAGAAGAAAATAAAATGCTGTTTTGTTAACAAAACAAATGTTGCTTGTTCTAACTAGTGAAGCAGACATTTTCTATTAATGACCCACCTGATACTAGGCTTAACTTACACATGCTAATGATACTCACACACACACACTCAGGTACACACACACACACACTCAGGTACACACACACACTCAGGTGTACACACACACACACACACACTCAGGTACACACACACACTAATGCAAACACAGAAGCTATCAACAATAACCTATCAGGTCTAATGGGTTGGGGTGGAGTAGCCTATGCTAGCTTATGGGAGTTCGGTTACTGGAAGATCTTCCTTCTCCTCCTCCTCCATGGTCTTCTCCTCCTCCAGCTTGGTGGCAGAAGTGTTATCCTGGAGGTTGGGAACCTGCAGTTTATCAGAAATATTTCTAAGCTGTTCATGTGTCTGCTGGGCAAAGCCATGCTGCTCAGTCACCAGGGATTGCAACAATTCGATGGTCTTACGCAGGGCTGCTACCTCAGTACGCAAATCCTCTACATTCTGGCAAGAAGCTGCACTCTGGCCCGTTGAGGAACTGCTCGCTGTGTAAAGTGAAACAAAGGACATGTTATAAATGTATATCTTTAAAGATGTGTTCAGGGAATCTCTGGTCATCACAACAATAACAGTACAGTACCAGTGACAGGCAGTGCTAAGCAAAACATCATCTTTTTAAGACTTGTAACATCAGGAACTGCCTAAATATAGATGAGGAGCATAAAGAGGTGTACATTGGGGGTGTTGGTGGTACAGCAGTCACAAGCTTGCCTCTCACCCCTTGTGTCTTGGTTCAATCCCTTCCTTGGAATCATTAATAAGAACCAAGAATTTAAAAAGACTGCATTAAAAACTTCTACAAAGTCTATAGGCAGCTAGGCCATAGGAGTAGGCAGTAATTATTTACAAACCTAGAATTGCATTTTCAGGACTTGGTTCATTAAGCTTTTAAGACCATGATTTCATAATTTGGATACTCCCATAATAACTTTTTCTTCTTCACACTTAACGGAAAGCAAAATCTTACAGTTTCTTTGTTGAATAGGTGTTTAAAGTAACTGCAGCTCCATAATTAGTTGTGGTACGTCCCATGAATGAATTACTGCACTCAACCAATGGAATGATACATAGGATTTGACATAATTCATTAAAATCAGACAGACCCATACTGAACATAACCCTCTGTGTGGAGAAACCTATCTGCCCAACCAGTACAACAATCGGTCAAAAATCATGAAAATCTAAAAATCGGATAAACATACACAAAAACCTGTCTATAAAATTTAATTACTCTATGCAAGGATAGATTCCTTTGTCTTAACCCACTTGTTGAATATAAAGACAGACACTCAGAAACCACATGTCCTCCCTTCCCCTCCTGTGTGTAAGTAGAATGAGCAAAATTTGAAAATATTTTACTTCAGTATATATGCTGAATCAATGTAAACTTGTGTGATGATTCTACTGAAAATCAATCTCTGATGATGATCATGCTGTACTGTGTGATGCTGTGGTGACATACCCGACTTACAACGGGGTTAGGGACACAAATCCAGATCGTAAGTCGAAAATGCCTAAATTATAAATAGAAAATCTAAAATGGGTGTCTCTTTTTCTTCTCAGCACCACAAAACTCTCACTTTTAAGTTTGCCAGCCATTTTAAAGTGAATTACAAACGAAAATTTTCTGTGTACTGACGTTGGGACTCGAAAATACGTACGGTAATTTGACAAAATTTTGGCAAGACTGAGACAGGTCGTAAGTCAAGTAGGTCGTAAGTCAAGTAGGTCGTAAGTCGGCGAGGAGCTGTACAGTATAGTGAATGGGAGTGAATCATATGTATAAATTGAGTGGCTTGTCAAAAATGAAGAACATGACAGAATACATTGGGTAAGGCAGCTAGAATGGACAGCTCTTTATCATACTGTACAGCTGCTGACAGTAAACGAGAGAGCCCGTGTTGACTCTCGATACCAGATGACAGTGATTGAAATACTCCACACATCACTCTAGCTGACAGTATAATACATATGGTCAGTGTCGTTCTTGTGCTATGGAGGGTAAGATCTAAGAAAACAAGAAAACAGAACAATAACACAACAAATAACAAGCTTCTAAAAAAAATAAGACTCGCAAGGTTAAGGTAAGACTTGCGAGGTGGAAGTAAGACTAGTACAAGGTTAAGGTAAGACTCACGGAGCACGTTGAGGGTGGCTTGGCCGTACGCGTAACCATTTTCGTTGGTGGCGTTGCAGGCGTAGTTACCCACATCAGTGAGGGTTACTCCCTTGATCTTCAGTTTGTTCCCTTTGATGTTGCGTCGGGGGTGTTTGCCTGGAGACACAAATATAGTGGTGAAGTTTCAGGAATACAGTGGTGAAGTTTCAAGAATACAGGAATAACAAATGTAGTGGGATAACTATTAAGAATACTACAGTGGCATATATACTGTACTAGCGACACACTTAAGAACATGAATATGGAACTCTGAAGAACTCTTGACTCTCTTACAAGGGACAAGATTAATCCTGGGTTCTTATCTCAGACTAAGAATATTTTTCAAGTCATGAATTACAAACAATGAAAACTCTCGACCTTATTTCTCGGAGTCATAACATACCCTGAGTCCTGAACTAAGAACTCTGTATACAGTACTGTGAATTATGTTTAGGGGAAAAGAACACATCTAGGATTATGAACTGAGAACTATACTGTGAATCACTTTTAGGGGAACAGGACACATCTAGGATTATGAACTGAGAACTATACTGTGAATCACTTTTAGGGAAACAGGACACATCTAGGATTATGAACTGAGAACTATACTGTGAATCACTTTTAGGGAAACAGGACACATCTAGGATTATGAACTGAGAACTATACTGTGAATCACTTTTAGGGAAACAGGACACATCTAGGATTATGAACTGAGAACTATATGAAATCACTTTAGGGGAACAGGACACATCTAGGATTATGAACTGAGAACTAAACTGTGAATCACTTTTAGGGAACAGGACACATCTAGGATTATGAACTGAGAACTATGAATCACTTTTAGTCTAGATTATGAACTGAGAACTATACTGTTAGGGAAACAGGACACATCTAGGATTATGAACTGAGAACTATACTGTGAATCACTTTTAGGGAAACAGGACACATCTAGGATTATGAACTGAGAACTATACTGTGAATCACTTTTAGGGAAACAGGACACATCTAGGATTATGAACTGAGAACTATACTGAATCACTTTTAGGGAAACAGGACACATCTAGGATTATGAACTGAGAACTATACTGTGAATCACTTTTAGGGGAACAGAACACATCTAGGATTATGAACTGAGAACTATACTGTAAATCACTTTTAGGGAAACAGGACACATCTAGGATTATGAACTGAGAACTATACTGTGAATCACTTTTAGGGGAACAGGACACATCGAGGATTATGAACTGAGAACTATGAACCCCCAAGTCACCTTCAGAGGAGAGGATTCGTCCGTTGAACATCCAGATATACGAGACATTATCGGTGGCTTCCGCGTCGCAGGTGAACGTGACGATGGACCCCTCCTTGACCACCTTAGAGCCCAGCTCGTTGATGAAGGTGGGGGCCTGGATCACCTCAACGGTCAAGGTCTGAGTCTTGATGGTCCCGACCTCGTTGGAGGCCGAACACTCGTATTCCCCGGCATCGCTCACCTGGCCAAGATGGAGCGAGGAGTTTAATGGTATATACCAGAGGAATTATGGTAGTGTAATGTGGATGTGAGGGTGGTACAATGAATGTGAGAGAGAGAGAGAGAGAGAGAGAGATAATAATAATAGTGCAGGGGGGGAAACAATGGCACAACATGGAACAATTACAGTGAAATGAGTCATAATATGAGTAAAACAGAAGATTTAACAGATGAAGGAAGGAAGGAAGTAAGGAGGGGAGGAGGAGGGAGGGAGGGAGGGAGGGAGGAGGGAGGGAGGAGGGAGGGAGGGAGGGGAGGGAGGAAGGATGGAAGGAAGGAAGGAAGGAAGGAAGGAAGGAAGGAAGGAAGGAAGGAAGGAAGGAAGGAAGAAGGAAGGGAGGGAGGGAGGGAGGAAGGAAGGAAGGAAGGAAGGAAGGCCATCTTAATACAAGCTTGAGGAAGTAAACATTAATTTTGGTTAGAACAACAGACAGACAGACAGAGAAGAGAGACAGAAAGAACAAGAACAGACAGAGAGAGACAGAAAGGTCAAAGATGGACACAGGCTGATGACTTACCTGGGTGTCATTGAAGACTAGAGTGCTGCCGGTGTTTTTGGTGATGATGCGCGATGGGTCGAGTTCTTCCCCGTCCTTTCGCCTCCAACCCACGCTGGGTACTGGCCTGCCAAGCGTAAGATACAGTGAGCTACTTGTGTGTGTATTGTTCCATTAAGAGGTAAAGAGAGGCGATGTATTTTGGTAATGCCAGAGAGTCATTATTGAAGCAAAACTGAGACGTTGATGAGGTTAACTGACTCATAAAAATAACCTACACACACACACACATTTTGAGATATTTAACCAGGATATATTAGGTGACAAACGGAGACAATTTAATACATTTACCTGACATTGGTGATAATTAGGTAACTCAGGTACACACTTAGTATTATGAATAAGGGTAGTGTAGTGTGTCAGGTATGAGGGAAGTGTCAGGTATTAGGGTAGTGTCAGGTATTAGGGTAGTGTCAGGTATGAGGGTAGTGTCAGGTATGAGGGTAGTGTCAGGTATGAGGGTAGTGTCAGGTATGAGGGTACTGTCAGGTATGAGGGTAGTGTCAGGTATGAGGGTAGTGTCAGGTATGAGGGTAGTCAGGTATTAGGGTAGGTCAGGTATGAGGGTAGTGTCAGGTATTAGGGTAGTGTCAGGTATGAGGGTACTGGTCAGGTAGAGGGTAGTGTCAGGTATGTCAGGTAGGTAGTGTCAGGTAGGGTAGTGTCAGGTATGAGGGTACTGTCAGGTATTAAGGTAGTGTCAGGTATTAGGTGTGTGTGTGAGTGAGGGTACTGTCAGGTATTAAGCCAGGTATTAGGGTACTGTCAGGTATTAAGGTAGTGTCAGGTATGAGGGTACTGTCAGGTATTAAGGTAGTGTCAGGTATGAGGGTAGTGTCAGGTATTAGGGTACTGTCAGGTATTAGGGTAGTGTCAGGTATGAGGGTAGTGTCAAGTATTAGGGTAGTGTCAGGTATTAAGGTAGTGTCAGGTATGAGGGTAGTGTCAGGTATTAGGGTAGTGTCAGGTATTAGGGTAGTGTCAGGTATTAGGGTAGTGTCAGGTATGAGGGTAGTGTCAGGTATGAGGGTAGTGTGTAAACATACAGACAGACATAACAGTACTTACTCTCCACCATAGATGCACCACAAAGAGTTCTCCTCTCCAGCCTTGAACTGGACTACATCGCCAGAAGTGTACATAGAGAAGCTCTCCACATTAAGCGCCTCCTCCTCCAGGTTGTGGGCCCCATCAGCAGGAGCATTCACCGTCATTTCAATCACGGACGCCATTGAGTAGTCGTATGGCTCGAAGGACGTAGACGCCAAACAGATGTACTGGAAGCCGTTCTTGCCGGTGTCGTCGTCTTCGGTGATGTGCGTAAACCACAGATTTCCTTCAGGATCCGCCACAATGCGTTCGTCACTAACAAACTCGAGTTCAATCTGTTCTTCATGGGGCTTAGCCTTCACCCAGCTCATGGTAGGCTTCGGGTAACCAAACGCTTTAGGGCAGGAGAGCTTGTAGGGTCTGCCTAACTCAGCTTCCACATTGTAAGTGTCACTTCTGTCACCATCATTAGAGAAGTGAATATTGGTGGTGTTTAAGAAGTAGACGGGATCACCTACAGCAGTTCCTAATTCATTGTAGGCGAAGCATTGGTATAACCCGTTGTCCTCCATTACTGGGTCGACGATCAGCAGGTTGCCGGTTTCTTCCTCGATCGAGAGGCGAGAGTCAGCCTGCCATATCAAGGGCTGGCCGTTCTTTGTCCAACGGTAATTGGGGCTGGGGGAACCCTCAGCCAGGCACTCGATCACCGAGGGCAGGGCGTCCCTCAGTCGAGCCTTTTCCTGGTCATAGAGCACCTCTTTGCGAGACTGTTTTATGATCAGGGGTGGTGACTTGGCTGTGGGGGCAATGAAGAAATGTGAGAAAAGTAATATTATATAATTAAATTCTCACTCCCTCCACCCTTTTATCTCTGTCTTTCCCTTCATCTGTTTTTATATAATCTCTCTATAACTCACTCTCTCGTTTATGAGACAAAACAGTAATGATGTACTGTGCTTCTCACTCCTCTCTTTTTTTTCTCTTTAACTTTATATCTTTCCTCCTTTCTTTGTTTCTCAATCTTCATATGTGTCCACCCAAAACCTAACTTAATACACACACACACACAGTTACAAGAGAAGCCCCTTCCCACCCATTGTAAAAATTCTGTGATTCAGAGGACATGTATATTCCGTACATCCAGTAAACCCTCGATAACTCGGCGTTTGATAACTCAGAATTTCCTATAACTCTGCATGGATAGGGTCTTGGAATGTATTAGTATAACTCAGGAAATGCTGAGATATTTAAAATTATCTGGGAAAATCTCTGTATATCTGGCCATCTGCAACACCTACCATACCTCTGTGTCACCTACCATACCTCTGTGTCATCTACCATGCCTCTGTGTCACCTACCATGCCTGTGTCACCTACCATGCCTCTGTGTCACCTACCATGCCTCTGTGTCACCCACTATACCCCAGTCACCCACTATGCCCAGGCACCCACCATGCCCCTGTCACCCAATATGCCCCTGTGTCACCCACCATGCCTGTGTTCACCTATCATGCCTCTGTGTCACCTACCATGCCTCTGTGTCACCTACCATGCTTCTGTGTCACCTACCATGCCTCTGTGTCACCTACCATGCCTGCATCACCTACCATGCCTGTGTCACCTAACATGCATGTCAAGCTACCATGCCTGCGTCACCTACCATGCCTGTGTCACCTACCATACCCCTGTGTCACCTACCATACCCCTGTGTCACCTGCCATACCCCTGTGTCACCTACCATACCTCTGTGTCTCCTACTATTATGCTTTATTCTTCATCTACAGTGCTGGTAAGTGTTACTTTTTTACATTTAGTAATTACAAGTACACATATCCGGTACAGCGGCGGTACTGTATATGGGCCGATAATTTTTTATTGTTGAAATTTTGTTGGAGGGGAAGTACCACGATAAGTCGGAATTTGAGATATCTCGGCAAGGCCAGAGCCCCACATGTGCCAAGTTATCGAGGGTTTACCGTACTCATATTTACTTTTCTTGTACTAATACCATTCTCCAATGTAACTAATACTGTGTGTGTGTGTGTGTGTATACTGTATATATAGTAAAATAAAAATAAAGGATAATTTTACGCAACATAATTTGAGTTCTGTTAAAAACACTTTATCAATCACTAACTGGAAGAGCAGGGGGCAGACATAGTGCCATCACTATCATCACTGTCACTTACTCAGGAGCTCGACGTCCCTGTTGGTACTGCCAATGACATTGACGGCCTTGCAGGTGTAGGTGCCAATATCCTCAGGTGCTGTGTCCAACAAGGTGAGGGTTATTACCACACCTTCACTCTCTTCGAGCTGCTTCTTCATTATCCTGCCGGAGTAATAATGATAAACAATCAATGAATCATCCTGTAGGATTTTTCTTTTCAGACATTAATAAAATGGCTGATACTATACCTATAAATACAGCCATCAACAAAAAGGCTTCGGAGTTGGTGTTGCAAAATACATAAGGATATTTACCAGATTTTCTAACATAACAAAGACAATTCCCCTAAACAAAACTAGATGTAACAAATCCATTTTCAGATCTTTGTCCAGAGACGAATCTTGCCAGTAAATCAATTGCATTAAAATGAAAAAACAACAACTGTACAGTACATGCCTAAATGATCTGTCTCTGATAAGAATTTTCAAAAAGGTAATGCTATCTCACTTGGAGTACTGTACTGCCTGCTCTCTGAGATACTGTACTGTACACCAAAGACTGCCACCCAATTGAAGACCTCCAAACTGGTGCCAACACTCACACCAGCACTAACTAAAAGACTGAGAGTACCTACAATTACAGAGGGAAGGGGACAGATTAATACATGTATTCAAGCACCTCAAAGGGAATTACTATCTGAAACAATGGACCACTTCCACCACATGTCGTTTATCTTATCTCAGATGTTAATAAATAGATCTTGAGTTAACTGGTTACTGACTTGAGGTTTGAGCTTCCCAGGATAGGCATGTCATCCTTAAACCAGGCGATGTCAGCAGGAGGGTGAGAGAACACCGTACACTCCAGGATTGCCTCTGTGTTCATAGACGTAAACACCTGCGAAGAGTAATGGTGATAATAACAACAGCGGTTACGGTGATAACAGGGAGAAAATTGCTCAGAATTACATTTACTATTTTGCAAGAGCTATAAAATAAATCCAAGTAATCATAACACTAAATATTGAATAAAAATGAATACTGAAGTAGAATAAAACTAATATTACATCATCCTACTACAGTACTGCTACTAATGATGACAATAACAGGAATAAGGAGAAAAGCTTATCCTACATGGGGACAGGCTGAGAATCTTAGACAAAGAAGAGTAGCAAGACTCCCACAGGCTACATGGTTAGAACATACCCGGTCCTTGGTCACAGTGACGTCCGGGGCATACTGAACCTCCAAGACTACATTGGAGGTGGCCGGATTGCCTATACCATTGTCGGCATAGCATACATAGTGACCCTTGTGACCTCGCTCGATTAGTGGCAAATCCAACAGGTTAGATCTGTCAACACAATGATATGGGCCTTATGTCAGCTACCTAGACTTGTAGCACACATCCTTTTTTTTCTATTATTAATGCTATTACTTTTATTATTATTATTATTATTTACCAGTATCGCCTTCTTACTTGTGTATTATATTACAGTATTATTATTATTACACATTACCTGAGGCTTAGTATGACACACACACACACACACACACACAACTCGAGGAACAGGACTCACTTGAAGAACTTGCCACCATAGTAAGGCAGCTCCTGGTTGACACGCTCCCAGTACACATCGGGCTTAGGGGCTCCTCCGGGTTGACAGTCGATGCTGATGGCGTCTCCCTCCTTCACCTGTAACACACATGGGACATTACTATAGGGAAGATGGTACATGGTGCAGTGATGAGTAACATTAGGAAAGAGAGAGAGAGAGAGGTAATAGGAGATGAAGGAGGAAGAGAAGGAGAAGGAATAGGAGGAGGAGGAGAATGAAGGAGGAGGAGGAGGAATGGGAGGGTTATGAGGAGGCATGACACAGGAAGCACAAGAACAACCACAGTGTCATTTCCTGTACTCTTTTTTGCCACCCTTTGAAACAGTTCTCACCTCACCTCTCTCTCATCTTTGTCTCTCACTACTGTTAAATGTGTCTCTTAGTCAGTTATTATAGCCTATTAGCTCATTAAACACACCTTCCGCCACACCACTCTAGCTTATTCACACATAATGAGGTTACAATCTACTCGGTAATGAAGGCTACTGAAGGCTATTACACCCGGGAAAAATACCTGACGTAGCTTCCCCAGGAGGTTGGTGCCCCCTTGTAGCAGTGAGAGAGAGAGACAGGTCCCATCATCACCCTCACCACTACAACCCAACTCACGTGATTTGGTCTGGTGAATATGACCAACATCTCACACACTAATACCGCATCTATCAGACCTAACTAATATAATCTACACTGTATCTTAAGTTTGATTTATTTATTTATTTCATTTATCTATTTATCCTTTCCACTATTTATCAGGTTATTAGCTATTCGGACACTCAATTCGTCGTTTGGCTACAACATTCATTATCGAGTGTTTGTACAGAAGGGGGAAAAGGCTTGAGAGGTTCACACTGGATAACAACACCCCTTCTTGTATCCGACCCAGGGTTTTTTAAATGGCTACAACAACTACCACCACTAATACTACAACTTCTACTACTCCTACCACTACTAGTACAATTTCCCCCATTCCTACAACCACCACCACACCCCTACAACAACTACCATCACCACACCCCTACAACAACCCACAACACACCACACCCCTACAACAACTACCATCACCACACCCCTACAACAACTACCATCACCACACCCCTACAACTACCACACACAACAACTACCATCACCACACCCCTACAACAACTACCATCACCACACCCCTACAACTACCACCACCACCATTCCTACAATTACCATCACTACAGGCTACCACCACCAGTACTACAAAAGAGTCACTCACACACACACAGACACTTACCACTAGGGTCTTGGTGAGGTTATCCGTGAAGTATGCAGCTTTCTGTATAAGGACCGGGACGTCAGCATTAATCCTCTGGTCCTCCCCGAAGTACACAGTGCAGCGGTAGAGGCCGATATCCTCCTCGTTGATCTTCTTAATCTGTGGGTGACGGAGGAAGTGAATCAGTGTGGGTTGTGTGGGTGTGTTGTGTGTGGCTGTGGGTTATGTGGGTGTGTGGGTTGACTTACTCATAATCTCTAAACATTTAAACTCGCCAACTCACAAACATCCAAAACACCGACTCACAATCGCCATTCATAACTTGACCAAATGGACTCACAAATTCACACACAAACCAGGTAACATTCTGAACACAATGTACAGGAGACACACACACACACACACACAGAGGGGTGGAGGGTCTGAATACTTACAATGAGGGAGAATTGGTGGGTGTTGTCGGGATGGAGAACCTCATACTTGCTGGAGAAGAGCAGAACTCTCTCGTTGGTGGAGATAGGGTAGGAGTTGGCTGGTTTCTCCTCGTTGATCTGGTGGTAGAAGATAGTGGTGAGGGATGGTGTGGTAGAAGATGGTGGTTGGTTATTTGTGGTGGTGGTAGGATGATGGTGGTGGTTATGGTGGTATTGGTAAGTGATAATGATGGATATTAATAAGGTACTTATCACTCCTTTACTATTACCACTACTGTGCTACCAATACTAACATGACTGATACTACTACTACTACTACTACTAATATTAATAATAAAATTGATAATGATAATATAGTAATGATGATACAAATAAAATAATAATAATAATAATAAAACTAATCTTAGTACTATTAATCCCAAGGTGTCTTCTCTTGCACAAATTATGGTTGAACTAAGAATAACAACCACCATTTCAAACACCGCGCATGACAAACAGTTTACAGACCATGAAGCTACACTATACAAGGTTGGTGTTGTGGTCACGTTCTGGGAATTTTATGGTCCCAGTTCTTGATTATTTATTTATTTATGTATGTATGTATATATGTTGTCTATTTATCTATATCTTTTAACCATTCAAAGCTACAGAACAAAAATACTCGTCACATTAAAAGCCATTTGAAAATTAATTAACTATTCCCAATATAATACTGTAATTAAAACTTAAGCTTGGCAAAACTCAATGGATCTTTATGAATGTTCAGTGATTGGTCTTTGTTGAGCCACTAGATGCTACTATATAGGAATAAATTCGAAATATTGAGAGTACCAAATCGTAGCTTAAAATGACTGTGTTTGATGGAAGGAATATTTTGATATGTATTACACAGCTAACGCACTTGAAGCCTAACTCGTACTCTACGCTCCCTACCTCGCCTCACCTAACGCACTTGAAGCCTAACTTGTTCTCTACGCTCTCTACCTCGCCTCACCTAACGCACTTGAAGCCTAACTTGTTCTCTACGCTCCCTGCCTCGCCTCGCCTCACCTAACGCACTTGAAGCCTAACTTGTTCTCTACGCTCTCTGCCTCGCCTCACCTAACGCACTTGAAGCCTAACTCGTACTCTACGCTCTCTACCTCGCCTCACCTAACGCACTTGAAGCCTAACTTGTTCTCTACGCTCCCTACCTCACCTCACCTAACGCACTTGAAGCCTAACTTGTACTCTACGCTCCCTGCCTCGCCTCACCTAACGCACTTGAAGCCTAACTCGTACTCGACGCTCCCTGCCTCGCCTCACCTTGCTCCACGAGACACTGAAGTCCTCTACTCCAGTAAGGTCGACACCCTCCACTGCACAGTCAATCTTAACCTCGTCCCCCTCTTCGGCTACCGTCTCCTTGCTGTACGTGATCTTAGGGTTGCTGGATTGTTCGGCCGCCCTCTTCGCCGGCCCTGCCACTGACACTGCTACGCCTGGCGAAAGAGAAACCGGTTAGTGGGGGTGTGAAGGAATGGGATGGCACACGGCGGGTAATGTAGAAATATAAACGTGTATATGACCTCTAGCGTTGTAAATATAGGTAAATACATTTCTCAATTAAAATATTAAAACGTATATATTCTTAATTTTTATATTAGCTGTAAAATACCATACTATTTTAATAGCCAACAGAAAGCTTTATCTAAATTGTTAAATATCTCTAATTGGTTCATTAGTTGTTCATTTGACCCCAGAGGTACGTTAAGTCACAGAAAATGGGAACTTTACACATATCTAACCAGTTTTGTTAATTAATTTACACTACTTAAATTTTCTGACGCTATGCATATCAATACATACTATTATTTATGTAAATTTATGTAATATACAAATAATGAATGTTTACACAGACACGTATTGTATAAATGACCGGAGAGTTAGCAGCTATAGAAGAAAAAAATTGCATGCTAACACCTCCACTGTTCCGGTCAGAGTCATAAAGTTTTCGAGTAGTCCGTTAGTTCCTCAACCTCAACACTCAGCTTCTCATCATTATCTCCACAACCATATCCCAATTACCATCATACCGGAAATGATGACTCATCACATGCCCCCCTAATTATCTAATACCTGAATAAAATTATCGCCAAGGTTGGGCTATTCTGTTATTCCTAGCCAAGAAATGGACACCCTCCATCATCGGGGAATGAACCCGGGCTTTAAACATCTTGGGAGCAACGATCACTACGCTATTCAGTACATAAAAGAAATAGCCTATTGTTTTATGAATCGAGTCTTATCAGGCATCGTGGATCTCTCGGGGAGCCTCTCACACCACCAAGCCTAATATGACAAAGGGATATTCGATTCATAATTCATTAGGCCAGGTTCTCTTTAGGCAATCTAACTCAGAAACAGTGGTCGTATCTGGCAGGGTTTAATTTCAGCTGATGGAGGTCTGGCATGTTATATGTATGTACAAGTCTTTAACAGTCATATTTCACTTATTCGTTAAATAAATAAATAAATAAATATATATATATATATATATATATATATATATATATATATATACGGTAAAATGAGGCGGGAAATTGATTTAGGCTATTAACCATAAATGAATTGCGTGCCAAAGTATTGTATGTTGGTTCCTCAAAATAATCCCCTTCTTATCTGAATTAAAAAAATAATAATAATTCTACTCCTCTAAAACCATCTATTTTTTTATTTACGAAAACATCTGTTGTAAGATAAATGTTTATACATCCGAAGCCTAACCAATTAAAAACATCATCTACAGATAACATTAACTCCTTCAGGTGGGTATTGTGCATTGTCCGCCTCAACACATAACATTCCATGACTCCAGCCACCTCAGGGATGACGCACTACGATGCACTGGCTCATTTGTTTCTTGATAAAAGTACTAGTTTAATTTTTTTCTTGATAAATGGTAAGAGAATGCGTTTAATTTTTTCTTGATAAATGATAAGAGAATACGCTTAAATTTGTTTTTGAATGTGAATGCGATTAAATTGATTCCTTGATAAATTAAAAGAAGAGAACACGTTTAATTACAATGTATTTAATCAGGCAAAATAAGCAAGGAGGGGAAGATGGGAAAAAACAAATCACATCTAGGGAAAATACAAAACATCTTTGGGGGAAAAAAAAAACCTCGGCGCACGCCATCGTCCTGACCACAACAGCACACCATAAGTCATTTGAAGGCGGCAGCGTCAATGAACTTCGACTGCCTGTTATGGAGGAAGAAGGCACCTGCAGAACTGATGATGGGGGAGGAAGATGGAGAGGAAGACGCAGGAGGATTGAGGAATAAGCGGAAGAGGAAGAACAAGAGGTGGTGGTGAAGGAAGAGGAAGGAGGAGGAGGAGGAGGAGGAGGAGGAGGAGGAGGAAGACAGATGGAGGAAGAGGGGGAAGATAACAAGGATAATGAGACCACCTGACGCCCACCTGCCTTTTATGTGTGGCTAGTATTGCCGTCTAGGTGGGTCGTCCTTTTTACACACACACACGCGCGGATAGTGACTTCCTCTGGCGGCGCTACGAGTCAAATCCAACTTCTGAATAACACAACTACGACGACCATTCATCTTTGGATAGCACACGACCCTAACCTAACCAAATAAAACCTAACCTAACCAAATAAAACCTAACCTAACCAAATGAAACCTAATCTAACCAAAACTTCCCTAACTAAACCTAACCTAACCCGATGATTTAACAGCCGTAAATTGCCTCCTCTTCTCAGTCAATATATCAAGGCTCGAGTACACAGTTTTATTCCTTACTCAGCTGCCTACATGTGCGATGGTAGTGTCAGTGCCAACATGCAGTGGTTGTGGTGGAAGGCAGGTGTTGTCGGTGTTGTTGTCAAGAAATAAGGTAGTGGTGGTATAGGGGGTGTCACAGATGGCGTTGGAAGTGTTATAGGTGGCAGTGGTGGTAATGGTGTCAAAAAAACTGGTAATGGTGTCAGAGAAATGTTGGTGGTAATAGTGTCAAAGATCTGATGGTGGCACTGGTGTCAAACGGTTAGTTGTAGTAGTGGTGTGAGACAGATCGTAGTGGTGGCAGAGGTGAGTGTCAAAGAACTGGTGGTGATGGTGGTGTCCATTAGGCAGATGGTGGCAGATGTGTCCGACAGATGGTGGCAGCAGGGAGGGAGGGAGGGAGGGAGGGAGAGCGAGACGGAGGAAGAGCGTGTCCCGTCACAGTAGTTAAACACGAAGGAGGGAGGAGAGAGAGGTGAGGGGAGAGGGGGAGGAGAGAGAGGTGAGGGGAGAAGGGGAGGAGAGAGGGGGAAGGGAGAGGGGGACATCACCCGCATTGTTACATGACCTCGCGTTTTTCTTCTTCACTAGTACTACAGCCCAACGTCCTCCTCCTCCTTCAGAGTATGTTAGGTCCTCCCTCCTTCAGAGTATGTTGCTGGGTCCTCCTCCTTTAGGGTATGTTGCTGGGTCTTCCTCCTTCAGGGCATGTTGCTGGGTCCTGTTCCAGGGTATGTTGCTGGGTCCTGCTCCAGGGTATGTTGCTGGGTCCTGCTCCAGGGTATGTTGCTGGGTCCTGCTCCAGGGTATGTTGCTGGGTCTTCCTCCTTCAGGGCATGTTGCTGTGTCCTCCTCCAGGGTAAACTTCAAAGTCCTTCGTAAGTACAACTGTGGATACCCCGGGGGAGTTTGGGGACACTTGTGGACGCACCGGGAGGGGGGGGGGGACACTTGTGGACACTCCAGGGAGTTTTGGGACACAGAAATTTATGAGCTGTGGACATCGTTGTTGGCCTCTAAGTAACGTGGGTTTGAGAGACACCTTGGCTGAGGGGTCAACTGTCAAGCATTGTGACCTGACAAAATCGTTCCTTGGCCGAGCGAGGGGGTCAAGGGCGTGGCGGTCAAGGGCGTGGCGGTCAAGGCTCGGCCGTTCAGGAGGTAGTGAGTGAGGTGAGAGAAAGAAAGCAGGTGGCGCCTGGTAGTGACGGCACGACATGGAACGTTGGTACACCGCAGAATCGAGACTTACGACAGCCATTCAACCCAAACATTTCCCAGAACCGCGGAAGTGGTAGTAGCCCTTACAGCTCTCCCATCACACACACACCCAGAGTATAAAAATCACCTAAAAATACCCGAACTCCTTATTTAAACGGATATAAACTCTCCCGGAAGCACCATACAGGAAGGAGGTGTAAGAGTACGAACACCTTGTACTCATTCACCCATGAGTACTACTTCAACATACGGGCGGTGGTGGATCTGTCGTCTGCTTTGAGTACGAATTTCTGCTGCGTCTTCCTACTTCGAGCCCCGCGGGTGTAATGTTAAAGGCTTCGAAAAATCATCTGTATATAATTAGCATTTATCGAACGCGTCTTAAAAACAATAAAAAAACAATAACCAACTGCAAATAAGTAAATAAATAAATAACACAAAACCTTAAAATAAATAAATACGCTTAAACTTTTAGAGAATCAAAATACATATCAGTTCAGCAGACGAGTTAATATTTCCAGCCCAATTCTAACTAAAATGGCCGACATTATTTACTCACGACACAGACATACGTGAACACCAAGACTTATTTACTTATACACGTACACAGTTTTATAAATCGATTCTCTTAATGTTTAAAAGGAATTTTGTGTATTTAATTAGACTTGGACTTGGGGTTAAAGACGATTCACTTGTGTACTGCAAAAACAAGGTTGTGTTATTTTCTGTATTTTCATCACGTTGGTTTGTATGTTATTGTATTATTTATTATTATTTCTTCTCATTATTATTATTATTATTTTCATTAATTATTTATTTTTACTCTTACTATTATTATTTATTAGTATGACCAAGCCAAGAACAACCGGCCAGGGTATTGTAGTAATCAATCCTGTCTGTTAGTCTCTGTGTCTCATGATAAACTTTAGGTGCAAATGGTGTAATTTTTTGTTTAAACCTAGTTAGCCCCCAGTAACGGTTCAAGCTATGATTTAGGGAGTTAAAGAACGCGAAGCCATGAGACAGTATCCAGCGGTGACTCCATTAATTTGCATCATCACCATTAGAAGGTTTTTACCCTGCCGTGGTAAAGGTTCGCTGGCAGGGTTTTGTATCAGTTCTTACCATTATTAAATAGTGTGAATTGTTAGTAAGGTATAAGTTTTTTGTTATCACTTAAAATTTATCGTTTTTTATTATTTTTTTATATAATTTTATTGATTTTTATTGTCAGTATTCTTTTTATTTTCATCATGAGTATTCTTTTAAATCACCATCATCACCACCACTATCACCATCATCATAACTATCATCACCATCATCATAACTATCACCACCACCATCACCATAACTATCACCATCACCTCTCAGCAACTCCCCCAACAGAGCCCCAAGAAGAAGGCAACGAGAAGTGGTCATCCCTTCAACAACCACCACCACCTAATCACCATCACCTAACCACCACCAACAGCTAGG